CTTAATAGTTCAATAACTTATCTCAGGGCATTGCTCCAAGTGTTAAATATTTACGGTACTGGTAATTATCAATTCTTCTATTTCAAACTGCTGAAATGAAAGTTTCACAACATGGAAGAGGGGAATTCTAATGAAACAATAATATAAAAACAAACCTGCCCTTTTATCTGGAAATGATAAGCATGGCTCCCTTCTCACTAGAAAAGAAGCAGGCATAGGATTGCAATAACAAATCAAATACATAAGCTGTTCACGTCTCTGGGACTGTATAGATTCTGTGCCAAGTGATAGCGCACATGGATATCATGAGATTATATGGGGTCAACCTTTCCTACTGCTAAACTTTTATCTTTTCTTAAACTATTCATCACACAGAGACCCTAGCTCATGGTGTTCATGTCTCAGCCCTCAGCATTTCTGCCTCAGATAGTTGGATCTAAGACACTGATTTCTTGAGACTTGCTCTTTCTATACATAAAGAAAAACTCCATACTGAGTTGTAAACTCTCCCTTTAACCCCTCCTCTCACAGGCAGTGTAATAAAATATAGACTCGACTGTGTAAACCTACTTCCAAGGCAGACAACTAAGCAAACTGGAAATTATGAGGAACAGAAAATATCATTACTAGTTGCAAACAGTACCGTGTGATAAATGTTGTAGAACAGTCCTTATCAAAATTCAGCAAATGTTAGTTCACCTCGAAGGTGATTTATACCTTTTTATGTTAATTCCAAAAGCAAATGGCATGATACGAAGCTAAAAATTATAATATTAAGTAAAATCTCAAGAATAAATTAAACTCAAAACAAAGATAAATCCTGCTTTGGTCAATTAGAAGAAACTCGGCACTATTGAAATAGAAGCCCATGCAACCCTGATTTCATTTCAGAAATACAGGAAGTAATAAGCTGATTTTGATACAATTTTTTAAACACACTACTGCAATTCAGCTGGCTTATATTTCAATAAGGATTATTCACATTATAAAAGGAAAGAGGGGAAAAATCTATTTCCATTCTCTAGCTTAAACTACCATAAACTGTGTAAACTTACCCAATGTTATAAATATATGCACCCACCACCAAAGCAATCATGTGTCTCAACCATGCACTATAGTTATTTTCCCTCTACGAATAAGAATCAGAATATACTGCTTTAATGTTTCACAAAATATCTCAACTAGAAGCAGTGACATGAACTTCTTTGTTAATTCAACTTCCTTTTAGGTATTTATCATATGAACTGATTATAAAAGATTTTTTTTCAAACCTACTGACCAAAACTATCTGCTGTACTTTTTGGGTTTATACACACTACTTGTACTTCTAATTCACTACAGCTAAATGGAAGAGAACTGCACACACACAAATATTTTGAATGTTCAGAAGAGAACTGCACACACAAATATTTTGAATGTTCTCAGTTCTTACTTGCTTCACCAAAGATCTAAGGTATTTTCTTTCATTCCTGTCTACATAGATCTTTCAATGTTCTCTCTTGTTTCCTAACTTGGAAAGCCTTCTGTCTATTCAGCCTAAAAATCTAATTATATCCAGCAATATTTTGGTCCATACTGGTTCCTGATAAACTTTAAAAAATAACTTTCCACTTCATGTCTCTTATACCTTCCCTACCATCACCTCATACTATTCACACAGCTTTAACCTGTACAAGATGGCAAATTTCAGAACTTCATGTGCAAAAATGATGGTGAAAAACATTTTTCCTTTTAATCCATTGGCAACAGGTACTTGCACCATCCACTGTGGTTTTATTTCATTAATCTTATATGCACAGATGAGTTCACAGGCACTTAAACACCAGGAAATTAATTACCAGCCCAACCTGATGTCACATATCTAACCATTCTTTAACATTTTGGGAAAAGATTTCTATTGCTATTACTATTACTACTGTCACTAATGTCATTATCATTATCATTACTATGATTATTGTAATATTATCAACAATGACAACACAGTAAACAGACAACTTCTCTTTCTAAAATTTCAAGGATAAGAGTAAATTGGTGGGGTCTGTTTTTTCTAGTGTTATTTTCTTGACTTGTGATACTATTTATGCGTAAACAGAATCAATAAAATAAAACCCCAGTATATAGTACATGCACTCCTTGCTACAACAGTTTACGACAACTATTCTGGCTCAAACAATATTTTGGATACTCATAATATGGATAGCTGGACATTTTTCGGAAGGTATATTTGCGCATATACCTGAGAAGAATTGCCATGGTTTGTCCTTTAAAATCAAATATCTATCTAAACTCCCATCTGACATGGACTTTGCAGGATCAAAGCTTAATTGTGCGATTATATCTACATTTGTTCAATAGAGTACTGTGAAGATAATTCTGCCTAGATATAACAAGGACACACATACACCTACACAAAAACGTATGTGCATACATAATATATGTATCTATATACATAACCTTTATAAGGAATATAATCTACATAATATGCATATTATATATCATATATATGTTTTATACATATATGTATACACACATATACATACATACACACATTCATACTACATACACATCATATAATATATATATATATACACATCATATAATATATATATATATATATATATATATATATATATATATATATATATATATATATATATATATATATATATAAATAAATGTTTACACAATATATAGACCAAAATCACATTTTCCAATATAAAATCCCCCATCCATACTGCTATAAAAAAGTTACCACATTACCACATGTCATCCAGCATCACCTCTCCAATTTTCTTTCCCTTTTTTTACATTTTAGACAAATGTTAGTTTGAAGCATTACTATTTTCCGTATTAGGGTTAGTCCCTGGGAGCAAATCCAATTATTAATGCAACAAAGGACCAAAGCAATAGGCAGCTTTCTTTTGCTTCATGGTCACAGTCACGGTGTTAATTGCATAAGTGTCAGTAGAACATAATCTCATGCACTTTACACAACAGGCTAAATTGCAGCACAGTAGGTAACATGCTATCATAGGAGAACCAAGAGGTCCTGGAAATCCCAGAAGTTCACAGAAGTTCTTTCCTCTAAGCAACCCACACCTGTACCTCAAGGTAAGCTTACACCCACAAGTGGTAAGCTTACGTTCTACACAGTAGCTTTAGCATGCACAGCTTCAGAGTATCTATATACCTTTCAAAAGAAAACCTTGGAATGCCAGATTATATGGAACTTGGTTCAGGTGACGAAAGAACATATTCATTGGATATTTCTTTTCTTTTTTGCCATTTTTGCTTCAATAGTTATCGCACAAAGGTAAAAAAAAGCACTAAAATTTTGCTCACTTGAACCAACTTCTGAAGATTTTGGGTGACAATGCTGTCTTAATTCCCTCACCTACTGATATATATGTATAAATATCAGCTGCAGAACCTTTACCGCATAAAAGAAGCAAGACAGATGAACTACTTACTGACCAGAAAGTTTCTGACATTACACAAATTCATGAGCTTCCATTTAGTTTATTAATACAAAAGTTAATCACACTCTGACACACAGAGATGATAATTAAAAGATTAACCTCATTCACTGCTGTTAAATAAAATGCTGGTCAATATGTAGATAATCTGCCATTTAATAATACCTTAGTCAAACACCAAACCACACTGTACTGAAAACTAGTGTTATGAGATCTTGACTGGCAGTGAAGCCATCAATGTACACTCTTTGTACAAACATTTGTTAATGACAACTCTGAATGTGGCATGATCCACATACCTCTAAATGTATAGTAAGGTTGGGTGTTGCAGAAGGCTTGATGGTGTGTGTTACCACATGTCTCACCAGTGCCATAACTCATAATGTGAAGCCCAGGCAGATATAGCCTTTGCCACGACAAAAGGGAAAGAACCTGATGCCTGGTAAGGACGACCTTTGATCCTGGAAATCACATCTAGGTTACTGGCACCTGGTGAGCGCAAGAATATCCCTGAACAACAGGAGTGAGGATCTATCATAGATATTAGCTGCAGATGCAATGCAACATCTGGCTTTGTAACAGATGGAATATTTACTTATCAAAAAATTATCATATATTGATATTGAGAATGAGAATGTGAGTGATTGTAACCATGATTTGTATTTGAGTGTGAGTTTAGGGGTGAGAGTGAGGTGAATGTGTGAGCTGTGAGACATGAGAGATGAGTAGGAGTGAGTGAGAGTATGAAGGTGAGTAGAGATATGAGAGTGATGTGAGTGAGTGAGTGAGTGAGTGAGTGAGTGAGTGAGTGAGTGAGTGAGTGAGTGAGTGAGTGAGTGAGTGAGTGAGTGAGTGAGTGAGAGAGAGAGAGAGAGAGAGAGAGAGAGAGAGAGAGAGAGAGAGAGAGAGAGAGAGAGAGAAGAGAGAGAAGAGAAGAGAGAGAGAGAGAGAGAGTGTGTGTGTGTGTGTGTGTGTGTGTGTGTGTGTGTGTGTGTGTGTGTGTGTGTGTGTGTGTGTGTGTGTGTGTGTGTGTGTGTGTGTGTGTGTGTGTGTGTGCACGTGTGTGTGTGTGTGTGTGCATTCACATTTGTACATTTGTAGATGTGTGTTCATATGTATGCATTTGCATGTGAGTGTACTCCTATGTGCATATGTATATTTAGATGTGGTAGCTTTTTCTTGCAGATGTTCCTTTGCTTTTATATGTATGTGTAAGCAATTGTTTGCACATATTCACTTAACCACTCAACCACCCACCTACTCAAACACCCACCCATTTATCACTCACTCACTCACTTCAATCATTACATGATTAAATGTTTTGTTAGTTTAAACTTTTATCTACAACATTTGCATCAGTATGTTCATATTAATGGCCTATAATAATATATTTGAAGTGTATTAACATAAATATATTGATGCAAATGTTATAAATGTAAGCTTGCATACCCTCACAATGTATCATGTCTCTTACATATTCCCATGTCTTTCAATATACTAGCAGGTGTTCTGTGTCTCAATATATGATATTGTCTGCTGTGATCCTCTGCAAAAACTAGTAAAACAAAGCAGAATTAATCTTACAACAGAAGATCAATCTTCTTCACATTCATGTCTGACTATTGGTCCTCACTTCATGTGTTCAGGATTGTGGAGAAGTGTACAGTTTAGCTAACCTGGGAGGTGGAAGTGTGAGGAGAGGGCCAGACGGACCAGACTGGACATGGAGTGGGTGGAGGGCGAGAACACTGGATGAGCCAGGGTCGGGGGTGGCCCACCTATCAGCTGACCTAAACCTGTGCGCATATTAGTGACACTAGCAGGCACATTGGGAGCATGGGGTGCCACACCCCCACTGCCACAGATCCCAGAGCCGGGTGGCATGGTAGCAGATCCCCCCCGCCGCCTGGCCACCTGGGCAAAGGTCTCCAGCAGACTGTGTGTCAATGGTTCAGAATCAGCACTGGTCAGGTTGGGCACACTAACACTCATAGGCTGTGAGGACATGGCGGAGCGCCCAGTGCAGTCCCTCTTACCCTCACCCGTCACAACACCCCCACATCGCTTCCTGCTGCTGCTGCTGACACCACCAATGCTGCTGCTGCTGCTGCTTGATCCCTCCTAGGTTGCCTAGCTCACCGAGCTTTTCTTCATTGACAGTCACAGCAGGGCATTCTCCAGCTTGGGCTAAGTGGCCTGATTTGCTGCTGTCTGCACTTGGGTGCAGCCCCACATCCATAACAGTCATGGCCTCACTCATATCACCCGTACCAGATTTGATATCAGAGGTATTGAGCACAGACTCCAAAGAGGACATGGCATCGGAGAAATCAGAGGTGAGGTCACGGTCATGTAGGCTGAGTGACTGTACTAGGGTGGCTAATTCTGAGCCTTTGTCCCGCCCACTGCCTTCCACACTCAGTAGAGCTTCAGCACTGGCCACACTCAGCACATTTTCTGCAACTGTCTCAGCAGCCTGGAGAATTTGGATAACCGGATGTTTAAGAAAATACTGATTTGCGTTAGGAGTATGCAATCACTGAATGATTATCAATCATTTTTCAAAAGTAAAAACATAGTATCATTCAAAAATATTGCAAGAAAAAAAAGAAAAACTTGCCCTAAAAAATGAGCATAAAGTATTTCTAATAATCTGAAAGTTACCTTCGCAGTGAGATTGTCATCAGATGCTGCCTGCTCGGATGCAGCCACAGAGTGTTTGTGTGTGTCTGTGGTTGCCTGAGGTAGTGAAGGTGTCGAGCTACACTTGCGACTTGTGAGTACACTTGTACCTTGGCTGACTTCTGTGCTTACCACCTGTATGAAACAAAAAAAATGAAAGTTACTTATGGAAAAGTTCAAAAAGGAAAGATTTCAACATAAGCACCTAATGGAAGAGGTATAGGACACAAGGTCATTACAACTGATGGTCAAATCAAAGTTAATTTTGATACTGTACTTTAACTACTGGTGTATGTAAGATTGATGTGAAATACTCAACATTCCCAATCAGATATGTGTATCTATAAAGTGCTTAATGAGCTGCTACATAAACCTGTGATTATGAATTTGGTACAACAGTGAGTTTAAGTCACATACTTACAGTTCTCATAACACTTTTAAAAAGATAAATTAATGAACAATCACTTTGGTCACAAAAATAAATTAGGATTAAGTATAATGTACTTATAAAATAGAATTGTAGACCCATATATTCTTATATAGAGAACACACCAAACCAAATACTGCCAATCTTCAAGCTTACTTAGGCATTCTCAAATCACATATAAAACAAGGATTATAAATTAAAAATCATGGAACCTACACAAACCTTATTTTTCTTTACCTTTTCTACTCATACACCATAAATTTTTCTCACAAATAATTCAACTATGGATTTGCCAATCTTTGAAAAAAGTATACAAAAATAATAATAATAATAATAAATAAATAAATAAACCTGAATGTCAAAGATTCACAATAAATTTCTCTCATTTTCAGGTCTGACTAACAGCGATGATAAAATCTCTAATTAATAGGGTTAAATAATAGGTTTAAAGTAGGATGCTGAACCTCTACTCCTTGTTTACAATATTTCTCTACTTTACAGCTTTTAATCCAATCACAGAGGTTGGTATTCTAGCATGATGGTGGACAACTACCCTGGCAAGGAGCAATAAGCCTGGATGCACACCAAACTTGCCGAATTTTACCCAAAATTTTACCTAGCGTGAATGGGGTAAAATATCCCCTATCCAAATGCATCTAAAATAATTTAAAGACCTCCTCATCCAAGGCAAACCAAACCTAAGCAAGCTCAATGACTTTCCCCATTACCTTGGTGGTCTTTATGGCTGTGGTGATTGTGGGTATTGACGAAGCAGGTGCAGAGGTGGTGGAGGTGTTGCTGGATGAGCTGCTGATGCCTGTGGACACAATGGAGACCTGGGGAGACTCGGGGTCATAGCCAGGAGCCAGCTTGAGATCATACTTGCCCTCTGCACCCATGCGGTAACTGTTGGAGGCTCCATGATCCCAGGTAACATCAATCCAGCCTGAATTGGAAATTTTGGTTTGGGTTTAGTTGAAAATGTCTTGATAAATGTCTAATGAGAAGAAAAGAATGAAATATCATTTTATCTGAAAAGATAACTTCTGCAATTTGGCAACACTTAAATAAACTATAAAAGATTACCATTATGAAGTTCGCCTGTAATGGTTCCTTCACTTGGAGGGTTGCCATCCTGGTCACGCCACTTCCAGTCTAGTCCACGTACCACACGTGCTCCAACTACCATGTGCTTTACCATCTGCCAGAAAAGGCAGCTCATAAGATACTTATTCTTCACCATGGGTCAAAATACATTGGTTAAATATACATAAATATTTAGAAAATAGAAAAAAAATTCAACTCATGATCTTTACAAACTACATGATATAACACTCACCTGTGACTTGACTAGTCTTCTCTGCCTTCGCAAATTTGCCTCTGCTTCCTTGGCTGCTCTGCCAAGGTCTTCACAAACACCTGTGACAGTGCCATAGAGCTCAAGCCCAGAGAGGGAGAGGTAATGGGTCTGACCAGATGCATTTTTACCTGTCTGTTGAATACGTACATGTCTCCATCCAGTCTGCAAAAGAGGATACAAGAAAATTTGTTTTTACATGATGTAAATAAAACATAAGATATCCATAACTAAATCAAACTGAAAATGACATTCAATATGAATACAAATCAACAGCATACCACCACCATAATCTATATTTCAACATAACAAATAAGGGTCTTATATTCCAACATACCTTTTCATCTTGTTGTGGCTGAATGAACCATGTGTGAGTGCTACCGGGCTCATTGAGGGAGCAATCATCCACATGGGTGTACAATGTTGTCCAAGTCATGCCATCTTTAGAAACCTGAAGCGATATCATGCTCAGATCATTTCTTTCTCACAAAGCACTACAAAAACTGACATTATTTCATCATTCTTTTCTATCTAACCTTTCAATATAAATGAATTACCAAATTCTGATATTCAAAGTTTTCTGAACATATAAACGATGGCTGTCCATATCTTTTCAATATATATACATAATCAAGGAATTATGTATCTTAGAGCTTAATCCAAAACAAAAGGATATGGAAATGTAAACAAAAAGAAATCAAGATCAAAGTCAAAAACTTGTTCCTAAACACATTAGCCTTATTCCACCTTACCTGGAACATCCAGTTACGCAGGGCTGATCTGCCATAACCTCTTGCATGTCGGAGAGTATAAGCTGACGGCACAAACCATACACCAAGATCAATAGCAAACCAGGCTCGCTTATCATCATTGGTATGGCAGTTCAGGGCTGACGGATCACGACTAAGGATATCTTCTAGGCGTCCATAGGGAAGATTGCGTCCCTCACTAGATGTCACTACCACTAGGCCGACAGAGGCTGGATTGACCCATTCATATGCAGTCCTAGAACAAGACAGGTTTTTAAATCCCTATGCTCCACCTTATACAAAATGATGAATATTAAGGAATCTAGCTGTTCATCTCCTGGCCTTGAGACTTTCTATTACTAACGTCATCCTAACCAATGAAATAAAGCTGCTCATAACTTACTTTGCATTTGTTCCAATCCAATAAATAATGCCATTCTCATCAAAATCTCGGTTGCACTTAAATGTGAGTTTCTGGCCCTCCTTCAGTTTGCGGACAAAGGCAAAGGAGGCTCTATCAAAATCGTACCACTGCTTTGCAACCATCTTAAGAAGATATCGCTCAAGTTGCTCAACTGTGGCCAGTGGTTCCATCTACCAAGAGAAAGAATAGAAAATATATCAATAAAAAATAAAACCACAATATTATGACAAAACAATATATAAAGTTCAATTCATTACTATCTTTACCAACAAAATTATTTTTCTATGAAAAAAAAAAAAAAAGGGACGAAAGTCATCCACACTTCCTTTTACCTTCAGAGTTCTTCCATTCCTGTCAATCAGCGAGCTCTCTCCAGGTGTTGTCTGTTCAATGTATTATATATGTGTGTAATGCGGATTGTGAGTCATGTATATATGGGTGTCTTCAGTAACCATATTATCTGACAGGGATACATTCTACAAAAAAAATCACTCATAAAACAATGTCAGTTAATAATTATATTCCACCCGAAATACTGAGCCATAGGAGAGTTTGTCGCTTAACCATTATCTTAACCTGAGAAAAATTTAACACCAACGGAACCATTATTCACTACTTTCCATTGTTCACTCATTAAGGAATGTTATTAGTCAAACAGAAAGGTGAGGAGAAAAAAAAACTGAATATAATTTCATGGCAGATGTCTCCTCTTCACTGCTACAAGGATGGCCTACTCAAAAATATATAACTTCACTTCAAACCTACGAATTCTCCAATCTAATGAGGCTTCCAGCAATAAAAGGCTTTATCTCTACATCATGTCATTTTTACCAAGTATTAATAACAAGCTTAAATATTACTATTATGAATGTGGATCTACTGATCAACTTTATGGGCACGGATAGGTAACAGCTTGAAATGTCAGCATAGGTTAAATATCCAATAATAATAAAAATACCAATATTAATAATAATCCTTATTATTACTATCATTGTTATTATGATCAAAATAATCATAATAATAACAACAATAACAAAACTAATAATATGTAAAGGAGTAGATTTCTAATGATATTGATGTCAACATTACTATCAATATCAATAACAACAATAACAAAGAGTGGGACTGAACAAATGCAACACCACAACCATGTATCCATACCTTAAAGCAGCTCTTGAAAACATTTCTCCGCTGCTTGATCATCTTATTGAGTCGTCGCTGGGAAACCTGTCTGTTGTCCTCGGGAATATGTTGAGCTGTGCCTGGGCTGAGGAGCGTCAGAAGAGCTTGAACCAGGCCAGAAGAATGTAATTCATAAGCAGAGACTGTGCTTTCATCGCGCAGGAGGGTGACTAGGTCCTCGACTGCAGCTCTCAGGATCTCGGTCCATTCTCCACTGTTCTTGTTACTAACCTGTTTTAATCAAAAGAACCATTACCATAGAGTTCTAAGATCTTGACTACAAAATAACAAAAACTTATTTTTGGTATTTATATTGCTATTATAATTACTTCATAGCTCAATTACTTGAAAAAGCATTTACTGTGACAAATGTAGAAAAAGGCATGAACAAGAATGACTTCATAGTGCAAGAGACTGATTTAATGCAGGATATTTAAATCATCAGGATTCTGAAGAATTTTTAGATGACCTTTGTTAAACAAAACTTTATTTAATGCCTTTCTCTACTAAATTACTTTCTTTAAGTGAAGATATAATTTAAATATTCCCTAACTATAAATTACGCACACATACCAAATTTCATACTTCGGAAATATAACGCACCTGTTTCTGACAAGCCCTCTCAATTTGTGCCACAATATTTCCTAATTTGGCTACCACCCCACGTGGCTGTGTCTGTGCTGCTTTGAAGTATTTTTCGTAAACATCACGGGCTAAACCTTTGACCTGAAATAATAAATATCATAATATTTTATTCACTCTTTAATGGTCTTTAATCATTTATTCAGATATATTCAGCAAAAACTTTAATCAACAATTCTACAGTAGAGCAAAAGTATATGAAATAAACAATAATTACACATTAGATTCTTTGGACACATCCTCAAGACTGACTTGACTAATTAGACCTCAATCCACCCAGAATCCAAAAAAAATAATTGACACAAACACCAAAGAAAACCAAACTTAAGCAGTTTAACATGAAATAAAACAACACATTAAAAATACCTTCTGTTTCATTGCCTCCACTTTGGACCGGAACCTCTTTCCTCGCCGCCCTGTCCACCCTGCATGGAACTCTGGGCCTAGGGATGTTTCTGCTGTGAAGGAGTGCTTGGTGTTCCTGTTACTCTCAAAAATGAAGCCAGGCAGGTCTTCTCTCAAGATAGTGGCCTGTTGCTGACCATCCGAGTTGTGAATGTGAAGCTCACCCTCCTGTAAAAAGAAAAGATTAACATCATGATAACATGCCTGTATCCATAACAAACTCTGATACATTAAAAGAACTAGAAACTCACAAATTCCACACATCTCTCCAAGTCTATCACAATCACTACATCCACAAATGATCATAATCTACAAACCTTCTTGCATTGCAAAGACCAGTTCCCAATGACCAATCGTGCAGGCCCTGGAGTAGACAAAACAGGCTGGCTTGGGCTTCCGGGTCTCACAGCTGATTTGGCCCGCTGAAGCTTCTCTAGAAATTCACTGCGGTTCTCTGCTTGGAGAAGGGAAGAGCAATGACACTATTATTAACATAAATATACAAAATTCTTCATCGCAAAAACAAATCAAATCAATAAAACAAAATATAACTTAAAACAGCTCTTTTACAGCAAATTCTTGAGCTAATTACTTTTTTTTTCCATTCAACAGTAATTCCATGTATGAGATTTGAATTCTTATTTTAGCATATAATCTTTGTAACATTTCCAGGAAATTTATGTAGATACATTTATAGAACAGACCAAATATTTTTTCAAACAGACAACCTCCCAACAGATATGAGAAAGGCTAGTAGTAAGGCTGCAAACAGAGCACCTCAGTGTCTAACTTTGGGGCTAATACACAAATGCTTCTGTGAAAATTTTGGATTGTGTAAATCCAAGATGCCAAGTAGTAAAACAAACAAGTAGAGAGAAAAATAACAATAAACCATCCAACCCTCAGAATCTGCATTCATCCTGGTACCTGTGCTCTCTGATCCTCCCTCAGGGCTCCCTGACGAGTACATGGTGGCCAGCTTCCCATCCAGGATGAAGCGGAACCAGCCATTCGATCCGTTGGAGAGCTCTAGTGCAGCTGCATCACTCCAGATGTAGAGGCAGTCCCTTCCCCGGGCCACACACCAGTCCCGCCAGTGGTAGGCCTTCCCAGGAACCACCTCCTTGGCATCCTCCATACCTGGTTCGTCTCCCTC